ACGAGTAGCAGACGAAGGCCGTGGCGAGGTGGGCGGTCAGGCGGTACTGGGAGACGCGCGGGTGGGAGCCGGGGGCGAAGAGGTCGTCCTTGAGGCCAGATTTCACCATCCACCAGCCGATGAAGCCCTGGAAAGCGATGAGGCAGGAGATGCCGCAGAGGTTGACGGCCATCTTGGGGGTGACGCGGCGGCGGGCGATGAAGTAGAGGGTGGGCAGGACAAAGGACATTCCGATGAAGCGGCCCCAGAGGCGGTGGGACCACTCCATGAAGTAAATCTTTTTGAACTCGGCCAGGTCCATGTGCGGGTTGAGGAGCTTGAACTCGGGGGAGGCGCGGTACTTTTCGAACTCGGATTCCCAGTCTTCCTGGTTCATCGGGGGCATGGAGCCGGTTACGGGACGCCATTCGGTGATGCTCAATCTGCATTGGAAAAGGGGATTAGCTGCTGCATCCCTGGGAAGCAGTCGAAGAACGGGAGGGAGAAGTATCATTACCCAGATTCAGTCAGTCGTGTGAGGCCACCCCAGACGACGATGCCAAAGACGCTGACGGCGCTACCGACGAGCCAGTATCCCACAGACTTGGAGTTCGTCTCAGGCCACGCCCTCTTCTTGGTGGCCTTCTTGGCCTTGGCCACAGCCTGCGCTGCGATCGAGGCGGACGGCTTGTCTGCGATGACGGCGTTGCTGCTGAAGTTAAGCGGCGCCTTGGTCTGGGTGAAGCTCCGGGCCTGCTGCTGGGATCGTACGATGGTGTCGAGGACGCGGGACGGGGACGAGCGCCATTGCGGCTGCTGGCGCTGGCATTGGCGGCACACGAAGAGCGAGGGGGATGCCCTCACGGCGAGCCTCCGCAGGCCTGGTGCGAACGAGGCCATGGTGGTGGTGATGGTGTTTGCGGTGTTTCCAGAGCGCAATTGGAGGTGGAGGAGTGGATGTTGTAGGTATATATGAATCATAGAATAAATTATTTTGGAAATCCAGGGCAGCCGAGTGGTCGGACTTCCCTGGCTGGTCAGTTCCGGGTCCCTTCGGCTTGATCAGTGTACAAAGTGGGCCCACTCGTTCGATCGCGCAAAGGTCCCCTGGACTCTGGAGTCGGCCTGGACGGTCAGTGGACGCCGGTGGGCAGCGGCGCGGAACAGAAAACTGGGGACCACTGGAATCCGACACTTTGAGAATCGAGCAGGGGTCCGGGCCTTCGATGTTTGCCCCGCTGTAAATTTCTGGTTGACCGCCTTGCGCCCACCATGGCAGAATTTGAAAAAGTTGCCCATGCTCGCTGCTTTGGGGAACCACGAACTGTGTGTGTGCGCTGCAATCCGAGCTGAGGCGGGACAAGGCCGACGACTTTTCGACTTTTGTTTCGGCGTCACTTTTTTCGCTACCAAAGTCAATTTCTATTTTTCGTCTGCTTTGAACACACAAGATGCCCCCCGGAAGGCAATCCCACGGGCGACAAGCCCACGGCCGACCTCTGCTCTCCAGCAAGCCGGCGGCAAAGACCTTCCGCAAGTCGAAGAACAAGGCCCAAGTCAAGGCCCTCGACGCCTTCACCACCGCTTCCGAGCTGTACGCGCCCAAGGAGAAACGCACACCGCGCTTCCGTGAGATCGAAGCCGCGCCAGAAGCCAGGAAAAAGCGCCGCGCCGCCGACGACGATGACGACGAAGATGGAGAGGACGACGAAGACGAGGATGACGATCAGCCCAGGCGGAAGAAGGCCAAGCCATCCTCTGGCGGTGCAGGTGGGGACTCGGACGAGTACCAGAGTGACAGCGACGGAAATGAGTGGCACTACGGCGTCAACGAGGACGAGGATTCGGAGCTCGACAGTGACGAGGCCTTTGGCGATAGCGATCGCGAGGATTTCCAGGGCTACGCATTCAGCGGTAGCAAGGGCAAGAAGAAGAACCAGGTGTGTGGCGAACGAAGCATTCTGATATGCCCACGAGAGAGTTTCCACAGCTGACTGAGATTACACAGGACGATTCGGAAGAGGAAGACGATGAAGACGACGACGAGTCCCTAGGCGAGGACGCGATAGACCTGGCCCAAGCCCTCGACGAGTACGAGTCCGACGAGTCCATGGCGGACCAGGACGGCCAAGACGACTCGGACGCCTCAGACTCCGAGGCCGAGAGCCCGCCCTCCTCGGACGAGGACGAAGACGACCAGGAAGCGGACCCCTCCAAACTCGGCGATCTCCAAAAGTTCATCGCCGGCTTCGGCGGCGGCGACGACGGAGACAAGGACGCCGCCCCCACGAAGCAGAAGCAAAAGATCAGCTTCAAGGACCTCGGCCTCTCCGGCGTCAAGGACGCGCAGATGCGGAAATCCGTCAAGCTCATGGCCAAGGAGGAAAAAGAAGCGTCCCGCCCCGGCGCGGGCAAGAAGCTCGAGGTGCCCCTGTACAAGCGCCAGCAAGACCGCCTCGCGCGCGCGGCGGCCTACGAGAAGGCGAGCGAGACCATCGGCCGGTGGCAGGAGACGGTGAAGCAGAACCGCCGCGCCGACCACCTCGTCTTCCCGCTGCCGCAGAACGCCGCCGACGAGGGGCTCGACAACCGCGAGCTGCAGGCCATCACGGCCACGAACTCGACGGGCAACGAGCTTGAGCAGACGATCCTCAACATCATGCAGGCGTCCGGGCTGGCGATGAACAAGCAGGAGGAGAACGCGCGCGCGAAGGCCGAGAGGGAGGAGGGCATGTCGAAGGAGGAGCTGCAGGACATGATCCACCAGCGCCGGCGCGAGCGGGAGCTCGCCTCGCGCGAGACGAAGCGCGCGGCGCGCATCAAGAAGATCAAGTCCAAGGCGTACCACCGCGTCCACCGCAAGGAGAAGGAGCGCGAGGCGGCGAAGCTCAAGGAGGCCATGGCCGAGAACGGCGACGTCGAGGTCGACTCCGAGGCCGAGCGGGATGCGCAGGACCGCGCGCGGGTGCTGGAGCGCGTCGGCGCGAGACACAGAGACTCCAAGTGGGCCAAGCTGGGGTCGTCCAACAAGCGCGCCGTCTGGGACGACGAGTACCGCGCCGGTCTGCACGATATGGCGCGCCGCGAGGAGGAGCTGAGGCGGCGCAAGGAGGGTCGGACGGGTGATTCCGACGGGGAGGAGGAGGAAGAGGACAGCGACAGCGAGGATGGATCCGAAGATGAGGAAGGCACCGGCCGCCGTAGCGGAAAGGAGAACAGGAGACTTCTGAAGCAGCTCGAGAGCATCGACAACGAAGAGGACGACGGCCCCAAGTCCGACCTCATGAAAATGAAGTTTATGCAAAAGGCCGAGGCGCAGCAGAAAAAGGCAAACGACGAGCTCATCGCGCAGATCCGTCGGGACCTGGACTCGGGCGGCAGCGATGACGAGGAGGAAGACGAGGTCACGCAGGTGGGACGCAAGAAGTACGGCAGCGCCGCGCAACCCGCCATCTCGGCCCCGGCGCTGTCGAGGAAGCAGAAGAAGGCTGCCGCCGCCGCCGCCCGTGGTGACGACGTCGACATGGAAGACGGCGACGATGTCGACGACTCGCGCGTCAACACGGGCTACTCCCTCACAGCCGAGCCCTCGACGACAGGCTCAGCCTGGTCCTCTGGCCCGCGCAAGAAATCCGCAAAGACGGGCGGCAAATCCAGTGGCGCGCGCGTAGAGGACCTAGACAACTCCCTCGCCATCACAGCCTCCTCCTCCAAGCCTAAATCAAAGTCAAAAGCAAGCAAATCATCAGCAGCAGCAGCCGACACCTCCTCCTCCGAAGACTCCGATTCCGACTCCCCAGACTCCCACCTGCCCCTCGCCATCCGCGACATCTCCCAGATGGACAAAGCCTTCGCGGGCGACGACGTCGTCGTCGACTTCGCGCGCGAAAAGGAAGCCATCCAGACCGCTGACGACGACAAGATTGTCGACAACACGCTGCCTGGATGGGGCGGCTGGGTCGGCGACGGCGTGAGCGCGCGCGAGAAGAAGCGCCAGCAGGGCCGTTTCCTTACAAAGGTCGAGGGCGTCAAGAAGGCGAACCGCAAGGATGCAAAGTTGGAGAGGGTTATCATTAGCGAGAAGCGCGTCAAAAAGGTATGCTTTCTCCTTTCCCGCTTTATTCCAGACTACTTTCTGGCATCTCTCCTTTCCCTCATCTCTCGTTTCGATACTTCCAATTCTCAGTGAGATTCCATTGCTAATATTGTTTCGTAGAACGACAAGTACCTCGCTACCCAGCTCCCTCACCAGTTCGAGTCCAAGGAACAGTATGAGCGCTCGATCCGCCTGCCCATGGGTCCGGAGTGGGTCACCAAGGAATCTCACCAGGCGGCGGTCAAGCCGCGCGTGCTCAAGAAGCAGGGCATCATTGCCCCCATGTCCAGACCGACAATGTAAAGAGAGAAGTTTTTGGGGGACTAGAAAAGCAAACGGGGTGGACACTGGGTGTTGGATACAACCTATTTTCTTATTATTACATGCTACTACCCCAGATAGATCACGTCATGGCACTCTCTGTCTTCAGGACCATAGTTAAAGGCGTCAAGGGCAAATACAAAAAAGTGCAATTCTTGGTTCTTCAGACGATAATGGTATATTCTCTCTCTTATTCGGAACAAAGACTAGCGATTACGGACCTTGCGAACCAATGATTTTTTCTTTCTTTCTCTGTTCCTTTGCTCCGTTCAATTTTCTCCGTTTCTGCGGAGAGACCTGAAAACCTTGGCCTCACAAACGAAAAAGCCACACCAAGGGAATATAATACAGTTCGGACTACGTACACAAGGGAAATGCGCACCGGGGGCGCATCATCCCCAAAGATAGATTGTTCAGTCACTCGGTGTCTGTGGGCTTGATGTGACTGTTGGGTATTGTCCCGTAATCGACACAGCGCCAAGACGCCTACTCGAATATAGTAGTAGGCTTGGTTTGTTTGCTGACGTAGACAAGGCAGTCGGGTGGGACAGCGCCTTGCGAATTGCTTTTTCGTAACTTTTGGCATTTCCAGCGCTTAGTTACCTCAACCCTGAACAACGGACAGCACCCGATCGATCGCGTCGCTGGGGCTGACATAAAAGGCCAAAGCGATAATGATGTACAAGCCAAGCAACATGGCACCCTCCAAGTAGTTGGACTTGCCGTCCTGGACAGTGTACGTAACGACCAGCACAGAGAATGCGAAGGCGACAGTCTCAAAGGTCTCAAAGTGGAGAGTCATGGGCTTGTCGAGAACAGCCCATCCGAGAATGACCAGGAAAGGAGTAACGAGAAGGGCGATCTGGATGCTGGAGCCAATGGCAACACCCATGGCAAGGTCCATCTTGTTGCGGATAGCTACAACGACAGCCGTGACGTGCTCTGCCGCGTTACCGACGATGGGGATAAGAATAAGGCCAATGAAGTTCTTGCTGATGTGGGCGGTTTCGACAATGGGATCGATGCTTTCGACGAGGTAATCGGCGCAGATGGCGACCAAGACAGTGGTAACGACGAGAACGACGGCCGCCGCAATAGGGCCCATGATCGGCTCCTCAACCTCCTCCTCGTGGTGGTGCTGGGTCTCGGCATCGAAGAGGTTGGGGTGAGTGCGCAGCTGGAACCAGAGGTACAAGACATAAAGCAACAGCAGGATGATGGCGGTACCGCGGGAGAGTACCAAAATGCTGTGCTCCTTCTCGGCGCTTTCGGCCTTGTCGAGGACCGAGTAGAGCTACAAGGCATTGTTAGTCACTAAGCGCGGGGTTTCATACCCTGTCGGGAGTGCTTACCGTGGCGGGGATGACCAGCGATGCTGATGACAGCGTCATCAGCGAGCAAGTGGTCTGCGCCGTAGCAGAGGCGAAGCTCTGTTCCATGCCCTGGCCAGTGACTCTGTCGCGCATGTTGACGATTCCACCAAAGAAGAAGCACATGCCCATGACAAGCAGCAGGTTAGAGAGAATGGAGCCCAGCATAGACGACTGGACAACCTCGATTTGACCCTCCTTCAAGGCGACAATGCTGACAATCAGCTCGACGGCGTTTCCAAAGGTAGCGTTAAGCAGGCCTCCGAGGGCCTCACCAAGCTTCATCGAGATTTGCTCAGTTGCGAAGGACAGAACAGCAGCGAGGGGAATAATAGCGAAGAAATTAATGGTGAAGACGGCGACTGGGCTCCAGTGCAACTTTCCGGCCACAATGCCAATAGGCACCATTACAAGCAGGAAGTTGACATAGTCTAGAGAACGGACTGTTAGCACACAGCGGCGCATAGTCTCGCTATATCGCGTGATTGAACTTACTGCTGAGGAGCGACACCTTGGTAACATGCCAGGCGTGCGATGAGTATCTTACGGCGGCATTGGGGCTGTCGGTGCCGGGTGTCTGTGTCGCGTTGAAGAGGAACTTCAGGGTCTTGTTGCCGCCGTCGCCGTTGACAATGTGGCTATCATGGGTCCCCGAGTGGTTGCCATTTGAAAGAAGAGGCGAGTTCTCGTTCACGTCGCCTTCGCGGCCGTTGGGCTTGTTGGCTGTACCCCAGGAGCGGACCTGTCCGCGGAAATGTTGGTTGGCTGAATCGTCGGACATGGCGCCGTCATAATTAGCCGGAGCCCTGACCAGTATGAAGAAGAAGAATTTCCTGTCGCGCGGCTCGTAGATGTGACAGATGGGAAGGCGGATCGGATTTTGGGGGTAAGGCGTCCGGCGAGTAATAGAAAAAGGCGAGAATGGAAAAAGGAAGAGACAAGGGAGTGACGATCCACGCGCGGGATAGGGCGACCTGATAATTTGTGCGCCCGAATCCTAAAGGTGTAGTGGAAGAATGGAAAAAGAGTAGCGGGTGGTGGGTGGTTGCGATGCCAGAGTGTGGCTTGGAGGAGGGAAAGATGGTGAATGACTTTCACCCCGTGGTAGAAATGACTTAGCGCGCCAAGGTGAAGGTGTCCAGGGGAGGGATGCAGCTTCTCTACCTAAGAACCTAGGACATGGGGCGGAAAGAAAGTCCAACGGGGCTTGCTGGGGCTACACTAAAGTAATGTCGCAGCGGAAGAGTGGGAAAGTGGAATAAGTGCGGCAAGGTAGGTAGGTTTGGTAGACGCAGGTAAACCATAAGGTAGAGTAGGTGCGAATGGAGAAAAGTACAAGGCGGGTTCAAGGCAGAATAATACGAACGGGGGAGGTAAACGGAGATATTGTGCTCAGAGAGGTAACAAGGCAGGTAGAGAAGTCAGGTGGTAAAAGTGCGAATAAAAAGGTAAATTCATAGATCAAGCAGAGAGAATGAGAATTACAATGTACTTACACACCATGATGTCGCCTATGAGTGACCTGATGAGTTTGCTTGGCCTTTCTTGTCCCCTACCTTGTTATCACGGCCGGCAGTCCTAAGCTGCATACAAAGCTTTTGCGCGTGGGTATTTCCGATAATGATAGTCGCAACGGACCGGATGAGATTTCTGCTCGAGGCCCTGTGCCTGCGCCGCCCGACGGCAAAGAGAGTGGAGTAAGGTAAGGTAGGTAGCGGACGGTTCAGTGACGGCTTGATCCAATAGCTACAAGGAAATGGCAAGCAGTGTTGGGCTGCCAAGTCCAAAGTACAGAGGAATCTATGTGGACGGTGTATCGACCAGAGGGGGTCCAAGTGGATTGGGTCCTTGGGTCCTTGGGATTGAACGTGCGAGTGAGCGTGACGATGCGATGGATGCTGCTGCAGCACGACTGCAGGAGACTTGAAGCAGAGCGACGCGACTCGACGACGGGCTACGGGGAGGGGGAGGGTGTTGCTATGTCTTGACCGTTGAGAAAGAGATGGTGTGGAAGGGCAAGGCCAATTGGTAGCCTTTGCGGTGATGCAAAAAAAGGTGAGGCGGGCTTGGTATCGGGTGAATCTGTGTCTGGTAGATAGAGATTGATAGTGCTTGTAATTTGTTGCCAGAAAAGTAGCAACGGCAGCAATATGTTGTCCAAAGCCGTGTTCCAAGAACTTCAGGCGATAGCAAATGAGTCTTGGCTGGGGAGAAGGGTTGAACAAGAAACGAACACAGCCCCCTTTTCCTGTCAGGCTACTATGGAGAACGTGGGACGGATGCCGTGGTACCCAAAGAAAAGAGAAACAGGACGGGACGAAACAGACGCTCTGAGTCTCTGCTGCGAAAGCGGTGGTGCTTGGTGTGATTGTGGTGCCAAGAGGGAGTGACGGGAAAGAGGAATGACACTTTTGGATGCATGGGCGGCCTCCCGGATACATGCAAGGACGAACGGTGCAAGCGGTGTTAGTGCAAGGTACATGCAAAAAGGTACATACCTATCCAAACCAACATTCTACATATCAACCCATTGAAAACCCACTCAACGACGTCGGTATACGGATACACTACACTAGACTAGGCCTGTTCAGCTTGTCAATGGCTGCTGAATCCAGCTTTACCGGCATTCAAGACAATTGTTGATTACCCCGGTATGACAGCATTGTACGGATCTACCTCACTAAAACACCGCCGGAAGGAGAAGCTTTGAGTAACCGTGGGCCTTTTTGCAGTGAAAACCACTTTACTGGGAGAGAGCAAGGCCCTCCTAAACGTCATACAACGGGTTAGCCAGTAGCGAACAGGTTTCAGTCTTTCCAAAGCCAAGGGGTGAGGTTGGGGTGATGTTGGCGGCGCCCAATGAGGAGCTTGCTAGGATGCCAAGCGTGGCTGTGTTGTCTGGCGTTGCTTCTCATCTTTCTCCGCTGTTTCCTGTTCGACGCCCGCCCACTTACTCTCTTGAGTAGTGAGCTAAGGAGCTTTCCCTGGATCCCTCCCTCCCTGAGTTGCTCCTGCTCAATGTCACTTGTGAACTCATTCACTCCTTCCCTCCCACATTTCTGCCAGTAGGAGCGCCTTCCAATTCCCCAAGTACATACGAAGGTTCCGAGGGATACGTACTCCGTACCTGCTATCCATCACGCTACCGATAGCTCCCATGCTTTCCGTCATCGTCTGCTGTCAACTTTCCATTCCCTCGTCACCAGGAACACAATCCACATGCTACACGGCTCCTCGCATCGAAAAGAAGAGAGACCATCGTTATCGATACATTCGTTGGACAACCCCTATCAAAAAACGCAAACACTATCGTTGCCCGTTAGTCGCCCACACTCATCTTGTTCGAACCCAATGCTGCGCGCCCGCCTCGCATTGCCTCAGCAACCTTCCAAACCTTCGAGTCAAAAATGATCAAGCTCAGTCTTGGCTTGACACTGCCTTTCCACAATTCCTCGTCTCGGCACGAAGCCGTCCCACTCTCAGGGAATTCGTCTTGACTTTCGGTTCAGGGGACCAGACGATATGCGACAAACAGCTCGAGCTCCAGCCCACTATTCACCATGACACTCGCTACCCAATACCACGCTCGCACTACTGTATTCGTAGCAGAGCCCCAGTTGCTGGCCCATTTTCGCCGCCCTCGACTTTGTCCCAAACGTCAAACGGGACCCCAAGTGCTGTGCTCGTCTGAAGATTGTTGCTTCGATTCAACCCCCCGAGTTATTTCGGTCACAATACGGAGAGCATCCATACAACCTCGGGCTCAGATAGGGCGCCCAGAGTTCCATCTTACACCCAAAACGACAACGACGGCGACAAACAAGCTCCAGAGTCTACTCTCTGGCCAAATGCTGTTTTCGGTTGCCCTGCGAAACGCCTTGCCTTGGCTTGCTGAGGGTGGCGGGGGTCCGCCCTGTCCATTCGCTTTCGGAGTCCCCTGCACCGATCTACGGACCCCCCAATCCATCGCTGAATGCCATTTTGAACCTTGACCGGACATGGGGCCTACTTCCGTCAGGAATCCCCTTACGTTGGTCCCCTTATCGCCATGATTCGTTATCGATAAACTTCGCTGCCACTTTACTGTGATCCTCACCACCGCTAAAGCCTCGTTGCCAAGCATCGTCAGTCTTGGCCTTTTACTCAGCCGAAAAGAATTCATATGCTCATTGCCACACACACACACAGCCTTGCGATCTAACGGTCCGACTCATGGTCTTCGAGCTTGGCATGTCTGCCTCGCAGTAATATTCAAGTCGAATGCTGCTCTACATTAGCCTTTCCGATGTTACTTCCCCAACTCTGAATTGCGGGGACGGGCACGGAGGCTGGCCTGTCGCCGATTGATATTACTTCCCAGCCGAATCCCGAGTCATCCTCCACACCATGCTTCATGCGCGCGCTTCCACGCGAAATTCGTGCGCTGGCACATTCACAGCCACCACCATCCATTTGACAGACACAGCAACCCCCACTAAACTCCGGCCACGTTCTCGGATACGGTGATGCCAAAGCACCTGCTGTCTATTGCGTAGGGTGCTTCGTAAGAGGCACGTGGCTTTGAGGGCTTGGCCAGCCGGCTAAAATAGCAAGGAGAAGCAGCAGTAGCTTCTCTCAATGTCGAAGACTTGCTTGTATGAAGATCTCAAAGTCGACTTCATGGACACCCGTCATAGAAACAACCAACGATGATCATGCTTGGCAAATCCTGGCAGACAAACACGGCCACAGCACTCAAGCTTCTAAGCTGACTGCATCCACTGATGTTGGCAGAGCAGCAAGGTGCCAGCACAGCGGACTTGGGTCAGATTGATTCAAATTTGGGGCAAGTCGCCGTGCCTTTATTACTGCATCCGCCCAAACGCGGATTTGGTAAAAAGCATGACGGTTACGCGAATACCTTGCTATTCGAATTTCGTCTTATATCCTCGCCCCAACACGGGATGTCATCTCTGGTGCACTGTCAGTCAATGCCCAACCGAGCTGAAAGGCACCGTACCTGAGCCAGCTGTGCCGACTTCCGAGTAGTAAGGATCACGCAGCAGCTGGTAAGAGACTTGACAAGAACGGTCATCAACGAGACCTTGCATCCATGGCCGCTTGTAGCTGCTGGCTCTTCTTCGACATAAGGCCAAGGCAGTTTACCTTACATGGCTCTTGATACAACAAGATGCCTGCTGCTCTGACGCGATGCAGCAACATCGCAAGCCAAGTTGGTGACCTTCCTGGGAAGTCGAAATTTCGCCTCCACTGTACACCCAGGACAATTTTCTGAATCTCGACAACTGGCACGAATGTGGAAGCTCGAAGCTCGATCTCCGCATATACCAAAGTGAGCACAGTATTGACGGTAAGTGCGCGCAAGTCGCCGTACGGTGTTTGGATGCTATGTCTATGTGGCAGTAGACACCGGCATCTCGACACCATCTTTGCAACTCCAAGATCCGATACAGATCCGGCTGATCAAGCTGATCGTTTCTCTGCACAAGAGACCTAGACCAAGACTTTGTCCGCCGGCAGCCTGATTCTAACCAGCAGTTGCAATAAGCATTGTGGCGACCAAAAAGCTTAGCCTTCCGGCCCCCAATCTTTTTTTCTCTTCCCGTTCATTCGCACTTCGTACCCCTCGCTGCCCCCCCAAGAGCTAGAGAAGCCGGGGGCCCGTGTTACGTGGATGGGTGACGCGTCATGCGTGGCCCTGCCAAAGAGAAACCCATCCGCCCCCCTGGGATTTTCTTGTCAGTCTGCTGCTGCTGGGCTGCTCTCCCGCTTGATCAATGATGGGAGGGGTGGATCATAAAAATGCATGTGCCGTGTTTTTCCTTGTTGCTTGCACGCCCCGAGCTCGTCGCTTGAGCTACCTTACCTTGAGGCTTGGGATGCTTAGCTGTCTCGCCCTGCTGCAGGTGAGGTGCGCACGAGGCTCGGCTGATTTAACGACCGCTGCGAAATGCAGACCCTGCATTCTTCAGCTAGCTGTCCAACATATTTTTTTTTCGGATACCGGATGGCTGTATTGCATATTTTCATCTGTTCACCCATTATGTGCATGATTCAACGGGGTCCGAATGGTCGCCGTGTCTTGGCGGGCTCATTTCGTCTGAAATATTACCACGGTCGCTTATAATATCAGCCAGATCATTATGATCAGAGGACAGATGAACGTTTCTTTGACGACTTGAGATGAGAGAAAGAGAGGCTTGGCATTTATTCACTTGGCAGGCACTTTTTTCTTCACTTTTGGATACTCAGGATGGGTATTCAAAGACTGAAAGGCAATTGCAAAATTTCATTCTTCGTCATAAAAAGATATAATTCTAGGTTCTGTTGGAGTAGGGCGTGTGTATTTGTGTGTCGTAGGAGTTTCGTGTCGTGTTTCTTCATTGAGGCATTACATTTGTTTTGTTGTTCCCATCTCTTCATTTCATGCTTCGTTGCTCGTTGTTGTTTCGTCGTTCATTACTTCGTCCACGCGCAATAAGGGAAAAGAAATTAAGAGAAAACCGAATTCGAATGGTGCCGCCCTTCCAAATCTTAACGTCGTTCATTCCGTCCACCAGTCATGTAAGTGTTGAATTAGGACTGGTGTGTTTCCCTTGCAAGGTGTTGAAAAACGTCTTAGACGCTGCCCATCACTGTGAGATTGTGTTAGTATCCACGCTTCCTTGGACAAGGCTGAAGTATGATCGAGACTTACAAGCTGCATACGTCAAGTACCACGTCAAACTCGCGCCGCCGTCGATCCAGCTAGGATCAAAGTTGGAGCTGTTGAAGAAGTTCCACGCCGTCTTACCGTCAATCGTCGCAAGGTTTCCATAGATGATACCCCTCCAGCCGCCCGCGATAGTATCGACGCGTCCGTTGCTAAAGTACACGTCCCACTCTTCCTTTACAAAGGCCGGTGTGCGGACAAAGGGCGAGGGCGCGAGGAGGGGAATCATATGAATACCTTGGATGAACTCGATGTTAGCGCCAAAGTAGGTCGTGTGGTCAATCTTGTTCTCAAAGAGGATGCCGGCCACCTTGTTGCCGATAAACTGGGGTGGCTGTACGACGTTGTCGCTCTTGTAGAGGTAGTAGTCCTGGAGAGCGCGGGCGATGATGGAGAGCTGGAGGTTGCTTCGCGATGAGAGCATGCTGTCGCCCGAGGCGTCACCCCACATCTTGAGGGCATAGGCGTGCATCATGTCTTCGGAGCTTGATTCTTGGTCCTGTTGTCCGTGATGTTAATTCACGCGCTTCAGACCTTGAGCGAAAGTTCAACTCACCTTTCCATCGTACGAGGCGTACAGGCCATGGGCCCAACTGTGGCCATGGTACCAGTCGAAAGCACGCCACGTAGGGAAGTAGGTATCTTGGGTACTGGGGTTGGCCACGTCTCGCACCAGGGCATTCACATAG